TGAAATGGGACAATGTATGAAGAGAACTAGGCACTGTACCCAAGGCGTAGGAAGGGCTCCCCAAACGCTATCTGCTGCTCCGGTCCGCCTGGGTGACTCCGCACACTGCCGGCCTGAGCTCACGCCCCCTGGTGATCACGAACGGGAAGTAATCGCGCCATCCTCAATTCCTGCTAAACAGTTCAGGCCATCTGTCGCCATCCACGCTCCCGGAACCACTCCCGTCCCAGAATAGTGATGTCAGCGGGTTCAATTCAGACCCAAAGTGGGCTCAGAAGAGGAGACACTGAAGGAAGTGCTTAGAAAAGACACGGAGACTCAGAGACAAGTGAAAACTGGGGTGGGCAGGCCCCTTCCGGAGGGCCCCGACTTTAATAAAGTCATCTTGGAATCTTCATAAGTTGGTTGGTTGGGGGCAGCGTCAGCAGCTTTCCTTTGTGATCTCCTGGCTGATCTGCACACACACCACACAAGCATCAGGAGTGTGGGCTCGGCCAGTGACCCCCGGAATAGTAACGTTATCATGGTTCTATTCCTTGTTTCCCTTCAAAAGTTGCTTATACCGGCTTTGGTTTGAAGAAAGTGGTCGTTTGTTTCTGCACCCCAAATCAAGGGGCTCTCAGCCCACCCGGAGCTCCAGCTGCAGTAAGAGAGCTTCCCTGGCCAAGGAAAGTCCCTCCTGACTCTCTTGTCTGCTGGTTGGCGCTGGTCTGGGTACATCTCTTATCAGTGGTCTGCTGAAAGAAGCAAGAAGTTTTCATTAGAAACCCACATTCTAGGGGCTGGGGATTTAGCTCAGCAGCAAAGCGCCTGCCTGGCAAGTGCAAGGTCGTGAGTTCGGTTCCCGGTACCAGAGAAAAACCAAAAAAAAAAAAAAAAGAAACCCACATTCTGAGTATTCCCTGCCGTTTCTCTTAATACCGTCACCGGCCACTGGGGGCCGCACACTCGGGTTCCTTTGCTCTTTCTATGCCCTTAGTTCTCTGATGGTCAGATCAAAGGTGGTCACTTATTTGGGTGCAAAGGAAAAGAGGATTTATTCAAAGCTACCTCTGACCTGTTTGCCTTGGATTACCAATTCACTGTGTAAGGTGTGCAGGGCTCTTGTACAGCAAGGAAAGAGGGGAGGGTACAGGGAATCGGACCTTACCCATCTATCTCCGGGCTTGCTTCCTCACTCCCAGACATCTTCCTCCCTTCCCTGCAGACCCTGGCCTTCCCTGGACCCTGGATCTGGGTATCCGTGTCTGTATATTCTGACCATTCATCTGGGCTGAAGTGATATAGGGTGGCTGTTACACCCTGGGCCTGAGGAGGTTTTGGGAATCTGCTTGTCTCCAAAGGGGGGAAAAAATTCTATTCTCAAAATTCTGGATACAATACTACAGCCTCCCTCAGCTTGCAATCTGTATCTGAAATTATTGCACATAATAACGTGAGCAAACATTTCTCCCCTGCACAAGAGTCACCAGCTCTCCAGCCTGCAGTGATTGTCCTCTCCTTGTCTGAAGCCCTGCCTGCTGCTCACCTCACTTATAGGGACCAAATTCTGTGTCAGGAACAAATAACAGGATCCACTGTGGCTAGGTTAAGGAGTAAAAAACACTAATGTTTATGCAGTCTTGGGGAAAGCAAGAGAAGGAGCCACGGAGCCAAGCTTCAAGAACCACCTTGAACTCATAGCCAGAGAACTGACCCAAGGGAGGAGTCGGCCTTGCTGCATCTGACTGTGAATTTATTACACTTGCCAGTGTCACCAGCCAACGCTGACATCCCGTCTGCTTCATCATGTCAACCTGGCCGCCAGGAAGCCACTGGCACTGCCACAACCACCACCAAAGTTAGTCGCTCATGCCACTACCCCTCTCTGGAAAGATGGACATGCCAAGCACTTCCTGTCTGGGCACCTCACTCCCAAGTACCTGACTGAAGAAGCTGAGGTCAGAGGCCAGGGCCCCAGCTGCAAGGGAAGTCGGGAAATTGAGTCCTGACATGTAGTCTGGGATAAAAACAGGGATTTTCACAAATATTAAAGAGGACTTTCAAGGACAATGATAAACTGGGTCTATGACAGACACCTGCTACAACCACCAAGATAGTCTAAAGTGAAAAAAAGCAAAATGCAGGATAACATATTTGTTTACGAAGCAAAACTCATCTCCATGCAGAAACCATCCCTGGGAGGTCCCAGAAAAACAGGTAACCATCATCTCCAGGGAAGGGAGCTCTGTAATCAAGGGTGGGAGGAAGACTTAATTATCACCGTGTCCTCCTTTGCATCTTTTGATTAAGAGGCACTAAGTAAGAGAGCAGGGGAGAAGAAAAGGGGAGAGGTAGCCGAACCACGTTCTTGGTCTGTCGTTCTTGGAGGTGGCTCCAGCCAGTGAAGGCTTTCTTCCTCCTCTTTGTTCTTCCTGGCTGTCTGCAGACACATCGGGACTCGCCCTTTCCGCCCAGCTAAGGAGAGCATTCTAGAACTTGCCTGGGCGTAGCAAGTACTCGTTACCATCTAGCTGGAAAGGTGATTGTATCTGTAATCAGCACACGCTGGTTGTTCGCATGGAGCCAAAGGAGGCCCAAAACAGCCCCCACTTTGTGAGTCCCAAGGACTCAGCGGAAATAAGGTTATTTCGAGCGTCTGTTGCCATCCCCGCTGAGTGGCCAGGCTTGAAGCAGTGGATAAGCTAGGAGGCTGCGGAGAAACTCACCCTGGGTGACATCCTGTTCATTTTTTTCCTGTACAGCCATCGGTCAGGAAAGAAACTGCACGCCTCACCCCTCGTCCCCTTCAGCAGCTTTCTCATTCCAGCTAAATTATAGGATGGAGATTTAGAATTTCCTGAACTTGGAAGGCTCATCTAGTGCTAGGAGAAGAACGCAGATTGTGTTTAACAGGAGAAATGTAGCTGGCAGTTTATTTGTATTAATATATGGTTGCTACCTATAATATGTATTCGTGGTGGAGAACTGGCATGTACACGCGCTGCATCTTAACCCTTGTTACTTCCCTTCTCTGCCCTTCCTCCTGTCTTCCCCCATTCCCAGGTCCCCGCCTCATCTCCACAAAGTCTATCTCCTTGTTTCCTATCATCTTTCTCTTATTTTCTTTTTTAGATTTTTTTTAGATTCTGAGTCTCTCATATAAGAGAAACCGTAAGATACTGAACCTGTGTCCGATTTATTTCAGTTAGCAGTATGGACTCAAGGTGCATCCATTGTCCTACAAATAACTCAAATGTATCCTTCTCTATGGCTGAGTAATAGTCCGTTAGATATTTATACATATTTATGACATTTTCTCTATGTGTTCATCTGTTGACGAGCACATAGGCTGCTTCCATAATTCAGCTATTACAGATTGGGCTGCTATGAACGTGAGTATGTATGTATCACTGTACTATGGTGTCAGTGGTCCTCAATTTCCCTTTTGTCCTCAATGACTATGGAATATGACCATGTTTCTCATCCAGTTCGATCTACTCTTATCCTACGTGGTAAGACAGGCTCACTTTCTTTTTTGAAGATACTATCAAGTCAGTTTATCAGTATATGGATAGCTGGTAATGGTATTATTTCAATATTTGCCCCATAACCATGGAAGATTTTGTGGTTGGGAGATATAGCTCCTCTTTATATTCACCCCAGCCTGTCTTCTCTTATTTCTTCACATCTTGCAACTGGGAGATAAACTGTGCCTAGTTCATCTATATTTTTTCAGTAAGTACAAGATCTAGTTTTGTGCCTGGCTAGCACAGTGGCTGAATGAATACTTAAGCTAAATTTGCTACATTAAGTTATAGGCTCACTGGGGCTGGGGATTTAGCTCAGCGGCAAAGCGCCTGCCTGGCAAGCACAAGGTCATGAGTTCGGTTCCCGGTACCGGAGAACAACCAAAAAAATAAATTACAGGCTCAGCATGGTGCCTCTGATATTTCCTAAAAGAGAGAAAGTGTTCCTTCTACCCATTTTATAGATGAGGAAATTATCATTTCCATTTTTCTACTGTCACCAGGGAGCCCAGCCCCAGTGCTGTGAAGACCTGATCCCTCACTGGGGTCCTCCATTCTTTGGCCTTTGATGAAAGACTTCAGTCAAGCTGCACAGGTGGCTATGCAGAAGTTCAGGGAGAGTTTATTGTAAAGCAAATACACAGAGTGGTGCACCCTCAAGGAAGAAGGCAGGCATGCCCCAGAGCACCTGCGTGGAGTGAAGCTTAGCTCTTTTTCTGCTTGCTCCAGACTTACTCCTGGAAAACTATGCTGGTTATCGCTGTTTTATTTACCTGATGTATACACTTATTGACATTTTTCTTTGAGGTTACTTTGGAATGTCAATATCTAAAAAATGTCTTTCTGTTCTTTTCACACGGTCTGTGTTCCCTGAGGGGGCTTAGTTGAGAAACTCAGGAGGGAAATTGTGAAAGAAAAAGTTCTAATCTAAATCAAGTCTCAGCACAAGGAGGGAGGGTCTTTTAAAGAATGTGGCCCAGGCAGGGTGTGGTGGTGCACACCTGTAATCCCAGCACTTGGGAGGCTGAGGCAGGAGGATCACTGTGAGTTCGGGGCCAGCCTGGGCTACAGAGTGAGTACAAGGCCAGCCTAAACTACAAATTCTGAAAAAAAAAAACAAAGACAAAACAAAACAAAAACTTGCCCTTTCTGACCCCCAGGAGCAAAGGCCATGTACCCAAGGATGCCATCAACCTTGTTTGAAAATAAACAGCCAGGTGGCCTGGTATGCGTGCAGTGTGTAACCTTACCATGTCCTTTGTGCTGTGCAGGATTGCTTTGGGCCTGAGACCTAACTAATGACTCGAAATGCATCACACACGAGTAGTAAAATGACGCTGCCGGTTCCATTTAGCTGTACCTGGCAGAGCGCGCTACTTGGCCGCCCCTTGCTCGTTAATGTTTACCTGCCCAACACAACCTGGGGCCCAGCTCCACCCCCACAAGTAGCAAACAGTCCTCAGCCCTCCCCCAGGGAAGGAAGGAGGCGTGGAGCGGTTGTGCAAATCGCCCGAGGTCGCCCGCCCTGCTTGGGTGGCCCCGCTCTCGGGAAACAGGTCCAATAGGAAGGTGACCCGCAGACCCGGCGGGAACCCTGAGGTGAGCCACCGCGGACGCGGCCCAGACGCGGCCCAGCCTAGGGTGTCCCGGGGTCTTCCGTCCTTGCACCTCACCCTGCTGGGGATTCACATCCCGCTCTGACTCAGCGCTGAGTCGCCATGGTCTCCCCCACCCCGCTGCCAGCAGGTGCCCCGGGCTCTTCACAGCGGAGGCCGTGGTTCCAGCCGGGACGCAGCCTCGCAGCCTGCAGCCCCGGGGTCTGAGCAGTGACTGCGCCCCCGGCCAGGGGAAGTGGCGGGGCCTTAGTCACCTGGGCTCCTCCCAGGCTCGCCTGGGGACCCCCGAGAGAGCTGCGGGCGGCCTCAGGGACGCGATGGGAGGTCCTGGGAGGCCCGGGGGTGGGGGTGACCTGCGTCCCCGGCGCGCTCCCCGCCCTCCCGCCTCAGAGCTTCCTTCGGCCACCTCTGGCTCTTAAAAACTGCAGGCTGCGCCGCCTCCTCCCCGAGGGAGCAAGATCCAGCAGGCCGGGCCGGGCGTGCCCTCGCCTGCCCGCCGCGCCGCGCGGGCCTCGCAGTGTCGCTGCGGC